CCCGGATTCCATTTCTGGTGATGAGTTGAAGACAAACACTACACACAAACATCCACAGACAGTTTTGTTTGTGTTCCTGGTGAGTTCAAACTTGGCTGCCGTGGTAGCGAGAATCGCCGTCATGTGTTGTAAGTCATTCTTGCTGTATGCAAACGACGCGGGGTCGTCGGCAGGCTACAACAAATGGCTGATTGTCTTACGCAGTCTATATATCAACGCAAAACGATGGACGTTCATCAACCCACCATCACCGTAATCACGGGCAATGAAAGCTATAGACATCATAGCGTTTCGGTAAATACTAAGTAGGGCAGGGGTTAGTACACAACCTTGCTTCACATTAGAGACAGGATCAGTCACACGACGTTTGTCCACGAAACTGCATCTTCATAGAAATTAGTGGGTTCAGTCTTCAACTCGGACTGACCTAGGCCCGCTCAAGAGAGGGGGGCACGCACGAACCCACAGTCAGAGGCCACATGGTGGAGATGAATAACTAAGGCATGGTTCACTCAGTGATTATCAAAGATGAGATCTGCAATGACGCAAAGTTGTAGCGTATAAGCTTGATGTGATCCAACGAAAACAGGCTTGTGCACAAACTATTGTTTCTGATGCACACATCTATATTTCTACAAGTTTAACTTGCTCATACGTCCACCTATCTGGAAGCGTCAAGGTTCATTGATTACTTGCAAATGTTTTGCAGTGCTATTTGAATACCAGGGCCTCCGGATGTTAGCGAAGCTGGGGATATCCTTTCTGCGCCAACTTAAAACTCAGACCTAAATAAGCAGACCAGAACCTGTCCGATTGCTCACCTTTAGCAATATTGTGTAGATCGATACTTATGACGGGTTTTTGCTAGCACTGATTTGCAAGGCTCTACAAAGGACGCAAAAAGTGTTTTTTGAACATTCCCCACGTCTACAGAGATGGTGTTCTCAGATTGAATAATGAATGGGGGTATGTCTTGCTTGGAGTTACCCCTACCCTGGAATCATTAAGTCTTTCATGTTGCTTTGTTGATACAAGATAAACTAACCTGACTTATAAACCACTTTGAGGGGTGTCGTTTCCAAAAGTAGTAGCATCAGTTTTGTGGAATCAACATTGTGAGCGATAGCACACTTAGCAAACGGGTTTTTCAACTTGCTGTCCGGTGTTTCCTTCACTATCCGCACTTTTCATTTTCTCGCATCCATCACTGGAACGAATAAGGAAACTACGTCACTGGTACGTACTTGCAAGGAAGCTCACGAACGATGAATTTCTATTACACCGTTATTGATAGAGCACCTTGGTGAATTCTTCTGATTCTTGATTGAATCACGGGGATGCTAATGTAGAACAATCCAAAAATTCCCATCTAATAGTATGAATCAAAGTGAGATATATACTGAGTAAAGAATTCTTTTCGGTAACTCTGATCATGATGACGATTGCATGCTGAATGTGCCGGATATGGCTGCGTACTGCATAGAATGTTTAACTGCAACGGTTGAGTGTACTTAAAATGGATCTGTTCTGCATTTTCCTTTGAAAGGCGACAGTGCATCAATCACCATCATCATCAATACACGTTAGCCAATGGTAAGAAATATACCTCAGCTAAGGTGCCACAATACAATAAACGATGTAGACTTAAAAGCTATTAAAAAGTAACATGATGCCGTTGTTTTGATGATTGTTAGAGGGGGAAGCTAAACGGAAGGGAAGGGACAAAGAGACTCACAACAAAAACGCCACTGAGGTCGACTACTCGCCATGTCAGCTAGTGTATCCGGCCAAACATATTCATCGTCCTTCGGTCTCCATCTAGGTTGTAGGGAAACACCGACCGACGCCAACTTCGATGTGAGGAACTTCATTCCTCTCGACCAAGTCATCGCTTGGCCTCTTCCTCTTCATTCATCCATATGCCTGGCGCGCAGACAACTCATGTCGCGGGAGTCGGTTGGAGACTCCAGCGCAGCTGATGCCCTATCCAAATGCGTTTAAGACGCTGTTGATAAGACTTATTTCGCGGCTCTCCTGCGCACAGTATACTACAACATGCTTTTACTCGAAAATCTTTTGAAAGATAAACTGCCTCCGTTGACCCGACCAATACTATTTTTGATTATTCATGTTCCTGCAGTGCACGAGACGTGGATGGTACTATGCGATTGCATCCCGAATTGATTTTACAGATGCGAAACGAGATCTTTTCATAGCTTCATCATTTCTCTCCTCTTAGAGTACAGTCACGTAGGTTTGGGGAACCACTTCAGGATCATCTACTATATTCCTGATCGTTTCTCGTGCGGATTCCGGAAACATCCATCTATTGCTAAAGTTATCTATAACCGCCACCTCAAGTTGGAGTCGTGCGTACAAAAGCAATCATACGCCCCTTATTACGGTCGTAACTTACAACTTCTGTTACACGATCCTTTGATTTGTATCCAAGTTATTCTTTGGTTGTGAAAGTGATTTGTCCCCGTACATGATTTGCTACCTTCAGTGACCGCGTGATTTATCGATTCGTTTCCGTTAAAATTAAGTATTCTGATTAATTCCCGGTCCTTTCAAGCACATTTAGGATGTAATCCTCATCGCGTGAAGTCTGATGAGATTTGCCGAGAAGAATTCATTATTCAGTATCTGCCTCACTTCGATCCATTCTCCTGATTCTGCTCTACTTGCGTCATTTGTTTGGGTACGTTCACTCCCTAACGACAATCTCTTGTTTAATGTTGACTGGTCGCGTTTGACTCTTGACTAAGTGACTTTTTGGGACTACTTGCTGAAGACGGGAGTACAGGAGAAGTACACCAGCATTCTCAGTGCCGTTTTCCGTCAAACTTCGCGCCGCGTACGATTATACGAAATCTTTTCGTCCCACTTCAGTATCACTAGTGGTGTTAGACTCTTCATTATTTTCGCCATGGATGAGATCCTGGAAACTGCCCTGCAAATCTCTGAGTTCTGTGGCGTCGAGCTGCTCCCGGGTGACTCCTTCGGAAATGAAGTACGCAGATAACATTGCTGTGATTTGTGAGTCCTCCCAATCCACAAATCATGTGCTGCTTAGTCTAGTGATGTCCGTCGCCCATTTCGAGATAAAGTCTGCCCCTTCCAAGTGTACGGTCTTGTAATGGACTCGCAAAGTGCATTTCCTTCTGTTAAATCTCACTTGCTGCTACTTCGAAACATGCACTCTACCTATTTCGCACCACCTCTAGCACAAACGAAGGAAAAATTTAAAACGACCTTGTCCAAAATAACCTGTTAACCGCAGTCAGACTGGAACTGTACAAAGGCGACAGACCATGGTGAGATTTATAGGTCGCCTCATGAACTTCGGCTTCTAGCATTAAGTGGTCAACTACCAAGCTTCACTCTGATCCAGCCATTCTTCAGGAGAATTTCAGTCACATGCAGGTGTTCGAACATTCCAGTAAGTTCGAAATAGATGCGATAGTCTATTGCAATCGATGGGCCACTGAACTAATGGTTCTTCCGCAGCTGACTTGCTGGGCCTTCCCTACTCCCGGGCTGGGGACCAAAGGCTGGTTAGCGCATCTGGTTGCAAACGTTACTGGATATGGATCGGGACCGTATGGAATGGCACACTTGCTAGAAAACACTTATACTCTAACTCGTTTTCTCTTTCAATCTGCGGTGTTTTCGCTCATGTGTTGTGGCACTCAGCCCACATATATATATATATATATATATATAATCGTCGTCACAGCAAGCCTGCATGCGGTTGCTCACTAGTTCGCTCTGCGGCGATCCGATGGCAGCGGGCTTTGCTTTACTTAGGACTTCTACTTCCGAAAGACTAGTTTGGACGATTCAAATGACGATCGTTTTTGACGGCACCTTTACACAGCTACCTGTCTCAAAAAGTAATTTTTGCTTCAGGAATAATTGGTGATAGAAGACAGATGACTGTATCGGGGTTTTCAAGGGATCTTCCTGCCATCTGATATGTGGTCATTTCTTCCTCCTCTACATTTTCAGATTGCTTCAACTTTTCTGCTTTCGGAGCTGATTGTGTTTGTTGATGCACTCTTGTAGCGACTAACCTAGGGATTGCTTAACCCCCTTTTAGTTCTTGTGACGGATTAAAAATTATCGTACTTTTGTATCATTCAAACTGTTTAAATCACTTATCTTATGTTACGAGTATTCCCAATCAAAGGTGAATAAACTCTCTTTATTCTTCCCATTTTTTGCTATGTACCATCCCATTTAACACATTGGATCGCTGTAGTATGCCTTAATATGTTATTATCCAATTCCTATGCTGAACTTCACACTCCCAGTTTACTGGGACCAAATCCACGATATTGGTGAGCTCCACATGGGAACTGTCGTTGGTTTGCATAAGCTCTGTGTGAGTTGCTTAGAAAAGAAACCGATGCGATGCCCGTCATGGTCACTCCTCCATCTGACTCCGGTTTCCGTTCAGGTTTTCCGAGCAGATGGGATAAAGCTCTCGGGACATTGCTTTCCGTGTCGTCATAGTCTCTCGCTTTTCCTTCATTCTTCCCTCGAATTCTTTTTTGTTAAGCTAATTCTTCATATCACTGAGCTTTTTGGTTTGAAAAGCGGTGTATAAAATTGGCGTTAACTTTTGGTGCGCACTGCTCTCATGTTTGTTTCTTTTTAGACTAGTTAGACGCTACCCAATCTGCCTTGTGCTATGCCTGTCACCATTGTAGTGTTTCCTCCACTTTTACGAGGATTGCGTTTACGTACAAAGAGGGTAACGCCTATGTTTGACTCAGTTTGTCAATGATTGATGGAAGTGGAGTCTTCCATCCACACTGACTTTCTTTGTTTATAATGTACGACTTTGATCGATTGTTTTTTGCCCATTTCCATTGTCATAATGGACTCTCTCCATCCCATTTTCCTAGACCGTATTCTGTATAAATTTATTTACTTATTTTCGATTGTCAGTTGGTACACAGTGTCTTCTTGATCTCATGACATTTTGTTTTCAGATGGGACAATCACTTTGGTGAACCGAGCAATGGCTTTTTTGCTTTGCGATCTGGCTCCGCTTACTTCTGCTCAATTTCTGGCGACCGAACTGTTCTATTACTGCGAAGCGGTTAGTCCTTTATACTCTTTACTTACGGTTTGAATCCTTTTAGGTAATTAAGTTATGTAAAGTTAACTCTCTTACCAAATACAACTGGTCAATCGACGCATCCATCGCGGCTGCGCTCAAATCCTCTCACTTTATAGTTTTCTATCGCACGAATCATCGTCATTATCCAATGTGCGAATGATCTATCGTTTCCCAATGATGATCATCTTACCTGACCTTGTCAAATATGAAGATTTGACTAGAACAACTACAGTTTATCGTACCGGAATATTGATATTAATAAATAGATAGATAGATGTTTTATTTCTCGACTTTTCCCACTTAGTAACAGATAAAAATTTGCTTGTACCAGATGATGTCATCCGCAGTTGGATTGGGAAGATATCACTTCAGCTTGTGGAATTGGCATTTATGTAGTTAGGTGCACTACATTGTTGAATTACTTGCTTGTTTCATGTCAGTATCGCATATTCATTGTGCAGGAGATAGTAGTAGTTTAGTATACTTGAGAGAAGTTCTGTGAGAGTGCTTCCTCGTATGTAAATGCTTCCATGTGTGTGCATTCGCTAGCCGCTAGTTATAGTTATTCCACATAGCATTTCTTTGGCGCGTCGAGAAATATCGCCACATTTCAACCGGAAAATACTCGGCGACAATTGATTATCCGAAGAAACACGGTTTAAGTAAAGCTTCTCTAAGCTCGTCCTAAGGTTATTCTAGATCATTCCAGCTGTCTGATATCAGCTATCTTTTTCATAAAGGCCTGTATACAAAACAGCGAACAACCGCCTCCCACTCCGGGGACTGTGCATCATGAAATGCACTGGCACATTAACTTTGCCTGCTGAGATGGCTTAAAGTTCATTATAGCTGGTGGTAGCCTCACTTCCCATACCGCCAATTTATCCATCACTGCAATGCCAGTGGTCCAATGGTCCATCAACGCTGGGTGAACATGAGTGGCTTTCGCCTCGGCGCGACCCCTGTTTTGCTCAAATCGAGAGGGTGTCTGCGAAGCGAATGATCTGAATGGTCTGAATTGCCGAACATCAGTTGACCATTTCTCACTTTAAGACGGTAACCTATCGAGAACCCAGATAAGAAAACGAAATACAATATTTATATCAAAATCCCCTACTCATGAGTACATCAACATATCTCCGCCCTGACCGTTTCTAAATGCTGTGTCGTACATAGCTACTGTTAGTGGACGTCGTGTCTTTCGGGGCCAACCCTGTCCTCTACAGCGTTCGTAACTTGCATGACATTGGAGGATAAGACGCGCTTTATTGCAGTTAGCTTGTAAATCATGACGGTCAGAAACTGTCCCCGTGGCCCAGTGGTATAAGCTGCTGACTGGCGGTACAAGCCGCTGGTGGTCATTAGTTCGAATCCTGATGGATCCGATGGATGCACACTACTGGCGATGCCCAACAGGCTGAAACTGCAGTCTAGTGCTTTTCCGGGCATGTGAACGACTATCTGATTTGGTAGCTGGCTCAGTTAGTTATATCAATATCCCCTACTCATGAGTACATCAAAATATTGAAAACGTCGCAGAACTCCTACGCCCATCACAGACCTACTGTGAAATTCAGTCACAAACTTTCTGCAAGTCAAAACTTGAGACCATGTAATCGTTTCCTTAAGTCCAGATTGAGGGAACTCACTTTCACAAGTAGTAATAGCAATGCGATGAATAGTCAGTTTGTTCTGGTACATTCTTGATATCATTTTCGAATATAGTTTCCCGAGTGTGATATTCGTGACATGAACTCCTTGCACAGTGAACCATTTCTTAGGAGCCGTATTAAACTCATGTAATTGACCACATCTCCTGAAGTTTTGAGACAATTCGTTCCGGAGATTAGACTAAACAATGTGATGACAGTTTCCTATCAGTTTTGTCTTCGTCCGTGTGACTCACATTTCGGTGAAAGTATACTTATGTGCGGTTCTGAATAGAAAGCACATTTTTAATGTCATCCATCGTTATCATACTGGTTGCATTCCACGGAGAGTATAACGCTCACCGTAGGTGCGTTTCGTGCATCACCCAATTATTCTGTTGCTAACGTGGCGTTTGATGTGCTCAATAACCATTTGTCCGACTTCCGCATATTTGCGTACACCATTAAGCCGTCTGAATTGGTGGGCAATATGCGTTTTGCTGCCGAAGCCGAGACTCACCGACTGATATTTTGGAACCCCGCTGCCTTGAAACGTTGAGAGTGTGCGCGGACATCACAGGCCTAGGGTCATGAATTACTGTGTACCGAGAAATGCACGCACGGAACAGGATAAGATTGTTTGGTTGTATGTGACACTTAACCGATATTGCATTTATGCAAACGACATTTAACGCTAGTGACACCAAGTCTCAGGAGATGCAAGATCGTCTTGATTGGATTGTAAGACTTCCTGCTCATTTGTGTCTGTGTGAATGAAAGACTTTTATGTTGCCTGCAAACAAGAAAGCAGTGTTCTGCTTTTTATGACCCAAGGTGTCACTTACGGAAATAAGAAATATAAAGGACGAAGACACTCCCTTGTATTACTCTAATAGGGACTGCTTTAGGGAGTGAAAACAGTTGTCTATCAGTAACGCTTGCTTCCTTTATGATGAAAGCCAAGTGAGTAGTTGTTCCCCGTTACCACCACCAGATTGCAATTTGTTTAATGATTTAAGATAGAGAAATTTGTCGGTTGATTTACACATATCAATATAACCGAGTTTCCAGCGCGAACAGCGATTGTTGTGTGCTCATGAAAATTCAGCCGGTATTTCGCACACGACCGGACACGTAGCATCAAGTTGCGACTTATCGATGAAGAGTTCATAGAAGAGACTAACTACCTCATTCTCAACCATTCTTGAGGTTCTGAGCGTGTGTGGCTTATCGGTTGGTATTTAGTGACTTCGTTGGCATACTTTTGTGTTGAGGGATGACACTCAACTTTTTTCTATTGCGTTGGGTACACCCCATTATTTAGAGACAGCGTAAACAAGTTGGGCAGCAGCATAGGGAAATCACTGCCAACTTGTTTAGTCAGATCCGAGGATATCCCATCAGGCCCCTCGTTGAATGGTGAATTCAATTGCAAAACTTGATCGCTATTTTTCTTAGCTAACATCCCTATTTCTATATATATGTGAAGAAGAAATGGCCCCTTCTTCATGGTGTGACTCAGTCATTGTCCAGTCATTAAGAAAGGCTCTTGGACTTCACCTGCTAATCACCGATGAATCTGCCTGATATCAGTTGCCTTCAAGCTGCTAGTATCCACCACGTTGGGCAGGCTATCGCCAACTCGCAAGGTGCATTGTCGAGTGGCGCAGGTTGGTTTCTTCCCCGGTAGGGCTTGTACGGATCAAATATTCAGCTCTTTGAACATCAGCGCGTGTACCTCAGGCCCACTATCGTTGTGTTCCTGGACATTCGGGCTGCATTCAACTCGATAGACCGACATGCCTTATGGCATTGCCCACTAAAAAACGGAGTCCTGAAAAAGTACATCGCTATTTTTCGGGCGCTATACCCACATACTTCAGACAGAGTAAAAGGCTACGGCAGGCTCTCCGCAGTCCATCCTGTCACCAGTGGTGTACGACAAGAACGTCCTATGTCTCCGTTGGGAGTTTGGGAGGGTTTACCGAATTCCGGAATTGAGCTCCTTCCAGGTAGTCTTCCAGTCGACTTAGATTACGCTGACTATATCACTTGGCTCGGCGACAACCCTCAGCGTCTGCAACTAATCCTTGACCGATTGGTGATTGATGTGTCTAAGTGTTTTGCTCCCTTACAGTGCAAAATGCTTGAACAACATTTGTAGAATGCTCTCTCTGAGCACACAATCGAAGACATTCGGGTTGAGCAGGTGGATAATTTTGTTTACCTTAGCAGCAGTATCTCTACCGACGAAACTGTTTTACAATATGTGTCTCTCCGTATCGCTAAAGCCTGCTCAGCCTTAGCCAATTTGAGACTTTTGTGATGCCGTTGCGACATCTCGCGTTTGAGAAAAGGCGCTGTTTGCAATGCCTGGGTTCGCGCAATACTTTTGTATGAATGTGGACCTTGGTGCATCCGAGTAGATGACATGCGTAGGCTTTCGTTTTTCGACAATGGCTGTTCACGGAAGTAAGCATCATTGACCTAAGGGCAAGCTCTTGTACTAATGATTCAGCATTGCAAGCGCCGAATGCTTCACCCATAGCTGACTGGCCGTTAACACAATTCGTCCTGTATGACTACGTACTGTGGAGAAATGGTTTAATCTTATCTAGGAACATCAACGTTCTTTGATGAACAGGCGGTTTTCGTTATGCTATTCAGGCCTGTATGATTTTCTACCAAACACCGCTAGTTCTATTCCCTACTCCTCTCTGCAATCACAGATTTCTGTTATTATTATCATCATCATAATCATTAACATCATCAATACATGTTAGCCGAGGGTGTGAAACACACAAAAGCTAAAAGAACAGCATAGTGCTAACATCACGTTATGCATTGATTTGAGATCATTGTTGGATGTAGAAGCTAACAGGGTGCGGTGCACAACGTAGCTCACAAAACAAACGTCATTTTGGTAAAATATGGAGAAATCTGACATACGTACACTTAAGTTTCAGTATGTGATGACTGAGCAGCTTATTATGGAGGCCATCACATCATAATTCTGCATATCTTCGATGCGGTGAATTATGTAACCTAGGCAGGCCTTCCACCTATTGTGAACATGCTGAGAGGAAGAATCCCTTCAAAATCCTAGAGTGAACGGCACAACAAAACAAACTCCAATCTATCAAGGACAAAAAACCAAAGGTAAACAATTGTCTTCGATGATTCATCATCAGACTCGCACAATCAAATGGGTGAAATTGCACTGGGCTTAAAGTGGATTCAGTCTGCTCAAATGAGATTCGATCACACCGACCAAGGGCATAAATCAGCAAAGAACAACAAACTAGGACACATGTATAGTTGCACAATTAC